ACGACGACGACGATATCCGATAACGTCCACGTTTAAGGGGGTTGCGGAGGACGGTATTACATACATACATATATATATATATATATATATATTTATTATAGTTTCTGGTATAGAAAATCGAAAAGTCGTCCTTTTTAATAGAAACCTCACGCGCTTCCCTCGTGGAAAATTATTATTAATCTCGGTGTACGAGCTCCGGCACGATGCCAACCAGGCGAGGGTCGTAAAATTCCGGCAATTACATCGGTCGGGTGTCCTTTTAAGTTGTTTATTGCGACGCGCAAACCGAGCTTTTCCGCGTGTGCTGTGCGGTGGTGGGTTGCAGGTGGCGGTTTTTCGTTCGCGTTTCAATTAAGTCCTGTGGGAAAAAAAATAAAATAAAAGGCGAGAAGAAGAGAAAAAAATGTTTCCCGAGGCCAAAAGTTTGACGAAGTGTTTTTTTTTTCTGGTCGTTTTGGTCTTTTTGTCGTCGTCGTGCATTTGTGGCTGAGGTCCCGCGGGGTCGTCGCCAATCGAATTAACCAATAAAAATCGTCCCTCTGGCTGTTGTTGTCGGGTCACCGCCATACGTTTGTGTGCGTGCGAGTAGTTCTAATCGCGTTTACCGGAATACAGTCGCTCATACAAACGTACCTATACATACAAATATATATATATATATGTGACTTAACCTATGCGATGTCGTCGCCCAGGGGGGACCCGCACGACTCGTGTACACAATACATACTATGTGTGCTTGTACGTTCGCGTAGCGCAGTTTACACAGTTTGGCCGATAGATCAAAACGCCAAAGGGGGCACACAAAATATGTAATAATAATAATATATACGTGGCTGCTGCTGGGCGCCCGACAACTGGCCGGGGACAGCTGTGCAAACGCGGTGTTATATTATTATTATTATTAAACATCGTAGGCGAGAGATTTTATTGCCCCGTATATTGTGCTGCGTGGCCATCATAGACTATTATACTTGCACGATGTAAAAAATATTGTTACATTTTACCGAAGCGATAGTAATATTTACCTATGTTCTATGTATACCTACGATGTATTATTATGTTATTTACGTGCCAGGACGGTGGCAAAGGAAGTGATGGCACGGACACGCTCGGGAACGGTAGCGTGATTTATATGCAAGAACACACATATGTGTAAGTATATGAATAAGCTCGTACAAGAGAAGCAGAAGAGTATATGAACAGCACTTCCTTTCATGTCATTATCATTTCTATCGGGCCTTGTACTGTTAAATACGTTTTCTCACTATCTATATATACCGCCGACGACCACCACAGCGCCTCTATATAGGTATGATAATTTAATACCGTCGCCTTTACTCTTTAAATAAATATCATATTTATTAGCCATTTATACTGCATATTATACGCCACATTTTTTTTCATATTTACATTTGACCCATAAAATCGTTGCCATTGCACTACAGTTATAATATGTCATAGGCCAAGTGTACGCAAGTTTCGAGTGTGTCTGCTGTGTGCAGTACTTATTATTTTCCGGAGGGTGTATAGGCATAATATATATAACCTCTATAACTATATATCTCGAATCCTCTCTTCCTACATTATACACGTATAGAGACTAGTGTACTTTTAACGGTATGATTTTTCCTAATTTGACGATTATTTTTTTTCGTGCACTCAATATAACAAATGAATATTATTATATAATTATCGAAACTGCACTGTTCGTTGAACGTAGTAAAATTAAAACCTAAAAAAAATTATATATAACACGCTATACCTACATAATAATTAATAATATATTTTATATTATGATTTGTCCGTAAATACAAAACTTTTCATTTTTTTGAACATAGGTATTTACAATAAACTCACATAAAATGGGAGGTGGAGGTGAGAATTACTAACTAGTACCAACTATTGGTTCAATATACGCTAGTTAGATACATAAAACAACTCATTTTATTTTACGATTAACTACGTGGTAATCTGAGGGGCGTAATAATAAGTTAATAAATAAAATAATAAAAATAACTGTCACCACGGCGTTGAACAAGAAAAATTTATTTCGAGTTTACGGCACAGGTAAATATAATAATATACAATGGCGGTCGAGAGGAGAAAGTAAGATGTGTGTTCTGCAAAGTGTACACGCTCTAACTGCAATTGTGGATATACATTATACACATCGCGCGCGCGGTGCATTACGATTGTGTCATGCGGTAACCAACGCGCCGACGCCGCCGGGATCGCCGCGATCCGAATGATTGATCGATAGATCAGCCGGTCAGACGGCGATCAATCACACGAGTAATACGTGATTACGTACGTATAGAGGTACTTACATACACATATGTAATTTATAGCGGCAGTTATAATTGCAGCAAACGATTGTACCTACGTACGGGGGCAAGAGAGAGAGAAAAAAAACAATGGAGACATTTTTTTTCAAGTCATAAAATCCGGAGCAGGTTTATTTATATTTCTGGTAAAACAGATAAGTAATAATAATAAAAATGAAAGGTGGTCATGTCCGGTAGAGAACGCATATACATATATGTTATATTTTTACTTGTATGCTGTTTAATGTCTGTGTGTGTATATATACGATTATGCGTTTGAAGTGTGTACGGTTTTTGTTTATTTCGCTTTTTTGAATCCGGATGTCGACTGTGCGTTGTCTGTTGGGGGTGGGTAGTGTGTCGTGATGGTGGTGTAGCTGGTGTGTTTGTGCACAACGACAAACCGGCGGCAGATAGCTGTAATTTCCTGGCACCAACGGGGAGTCTTGCAACCGACAATGCGGGTTTTTATTTTTCGAAAAGTCAAACGACTGCGGGGACGTTTGACGGACGACCTAAAATATATTTTATGTATAATATGATAAACGATAATATTATGTAATACAAAAGACAACCAGGACACTGTGAAAATATGCAAAAAATATAAAACGAAATAAATATTTATATTACACCTAATAAAATATACATTTATACGTTTATGTATACACAATGATCCGGAAGTAGTGGAAAAGTCTTCGTGCAGGTTTGACCACCGCCTCGGCGTCGGTAGGGCGGCTACATCCCTCAAAGGAGGGGTGCGCGGGCCTGGGGCGTTGACCAAAACTGACCGGATGACCAATCGATTTGACCAATGACCATCGTTGCCGCCGCCACTGCAGCTACTCACATTCACAGCGGGTGCATATTGTTGTATGCTGTAGCATGTAGCGCGCAGATGTTTGTGGCCGTCCTCTATACATCTATACGTGCTCTGCTACACCCTTCACCATAGTATCCGAGCGGCGGACGCACCCCTCGGGCAAACAAAAACACTACCCCACGGGATTTTTCACCGTGTGTTAGCCTATATTCATTTATACATATATATTGTGTACGGCGAGTGTCCATTAGACGCATTTAAGGTCTTCACCAGTGTGTTTGTGGGCGTGTGTATGTGTGTGAATAGTATATACATGTATACGCATAGGTTTATGGAGTGGTGTGGAACAGCGATATGTGTACGCCCGGTGTGGTATATAACGAAAATCGTTGTGTAAATTGTATATATGGGTCATATATATAATACGTACGATATTGCCGTCCGAGATTTTCACGTCAAACGCACGTTTGCCACTTTTGTCGGGTATTATATTATATACAAACGGCCCTGCCACCACCGTCCCCCATCCAGAAGTGCATAAACAATATTCCCGGCCCCTGCAAAGCGATTAAAAACTATTAGGGACATCGTCGTGCGGACACTGCAGAACCGTTGCAGTGAAGTAGATTTTAACGTACAAGAGAACCACTCTTTAAACGCAACGCAAATATATTGTACACATATAATAATATAATATTATATAATATAAATGGCGGATTTCCAGGTTATCGGAAACGATTTATGAAGACAGGCTCGCACATTGTCGAACACATTATATTATATAGGTATATATATTTAAGATTTTATTTTCGTATCGTCGTCCAAGGTCAGTTTTATAATATGATATTATATTATCCCGGTGGTGTCGTATAATAATAATAAATTATGATATTATTATGTGGAAAAATATTGAAGTTCGTTCAATTATTGATTATTTTCCTCTCTTCCTAGTTCTTGTAAATAATCGTCTTTTAGAGTATAAAATAAAAATATTCCTCACCTGTTTATTGTATAAAATATCCGAACATTTTTTTTTATGAATATATAATAATATAATACTATTTAAAATAATATATTTAGAAAATTCGTTTTTATCGAACAACTTTTAACGATTAAACACCTTTGCGCGTGGCGTAGGTATATATGTGATGCCGAAACTGTCACGGTTCACAATTTACTCACATATTTCATGTAGATAGATGACGTATGATGGTAACATAAGTATTGTATGTGTAGTGTGTGCGATCACCTCTGACGCGTCATCGTGATAAGTAGCGTTCTGTATGCGACGGCGACGGCAGCGGCACCCCCTCCGCCCGTACTAGTAACCCTCAAACAGAACTAAACTAATTTGCGCCGCGACCACACATCGACGTCGTCATCGTTGCCATTATTATTATTATTGTACTTGCTACTGATAGACGATTTCATATTGTGTTTTTCGGCGGGGCGCGAAACAAAAAAAAATTACACAAACGTGTACATGATACAGAAACCGTCGTAATATAGAAAAGGAGGGTATGGATATCGAATGGTTATTGATTTTCATCATTAAAACTACCGAACGAACACAAAATGGACGACGTTCAACGCACGCTCGCATATCACCAAACAACAATAATAATAATAAGCAATAGATCGGCATGATCGTTTTAATATTTCAAATGCATTTGATTAAGTATTGGTATATTGGACTTATATAATCGGACTAAGAACATATTTTAATTTACCTAAAACTTTAGGTAAAAAACGTGGATATACTTGAAATAAAACCCGATTGATAGCATAATGAATATTTATTATACTTATACCTATACTCGTACAACGATCTTAACGGATTTTTTTTCTATTTTTAGCGGATACGGACCCGACACATAGCACCGGCAACACCGATCAGGTAGACCTGTTGACGTGTGGTCAGTGTCAGAGAGTGTTCCTATTATCGGACATATGCCGATTCGTACAGCACAAGATGACCGGTTGCAGCAAAGACTCACTGGCTGCCAACTGCAACAGCAACAGTGGCGACGACTGCGCCGGGCCACCGCCGCCGCCACAGCCACTCGACAACGGTCTTTCAGCGGCTAAGGCAAAGTCACACCATCGGTCTCAGTCTCCGGCTGGTGCCGATGACCCATCTTCACTCCACCACCATAATCATAATCATCATCACAGGCGACCACCGCCGTCCAGCACACCCAAGCGGACGTCCGACCGAAACAACGGTGGCGAAGATGGTACCGCGAGTTCCGAGGACGAGAAGTCCAGCGCCACTGCCGCCGCCACCAAGAGCGGACGGGTAAAACAGGGATCTGAGTCGTCTGAGGACTTGGGTTACAAAAAGTCCAATCGCTCGGCATCGTCCTGCGTCGATGCCGAATCCAATACCACTAACTCAGGTATGTTGTGCTTATTTTATTTTCTATAAATTACTATTATATAGGTATATATTTATAACCAAACGGGGTTGATTATTATACATGAATTATTTATTATTATACTTTGATTGAAAAAGTTACGCAATCGGTTTCGAATTCGGTCGAACGTACGAAATTGAAAAGTTATACACTCGCCTCCTTCTCACTCGTGTCCAATTGTGCCGTCGTCGAATTTCGTTTTACGCCCGCCGGCAAAAACCATAATAATATGTTATAAATCTTGTACACCCTAGATATTATTCTGTATGTATTATATTCCGAGAAAAATAATGACAAAAAGATAATCTCGTTCCACCCCCTTCCGCCCGAAAATATTCCGTGAGTAACGATACCAACGCACCGAGACGACGTGCATGGTCGTTGATGGGATATGATTCTGTTTGGAAATGTTGTCTATATCGTTAAGGTGGCCTCTGTATTTTCTCATATTTAAAATGATGTAATTTATATTACCTATATACCTATAATATATTCAATATCTTATCGTTACTGCGGTAGCGAATACTGCGATTCGTTTTGAAATGTCTTTCAACATCTCCGGGAAATTGTTCAACAAATTCACGACGAATGTTTATAATAATAATAATAATTATTATTATTATAACATATACTATTAAAATATTCAAATATTTAAATCGTTGCGACAAGAGCAAAATTACTGTTTGCGCACGCGGTCAAGTGAACTACAATTTAAATAATTGTCCTTCGCTGCTTATAGTGTTACAGTCCACGCGCGTTATTCGTCGTGATAAAAAAAAAAAGTTTTGTGCATATATATACATATAATATGCGCGTATGCGAGTATACACATTCTACACAATAATGCCCATTCGTACAGTAATATATGATAAATTATGTAAATAAGAAATTCTTTTTGTTTCGCGTCAAAACATTCTATCGTTTACATTTTAAATTAAAACGTTTATTTGTTGTACAAAATGACTCTCAATGATATTACTTCGATTTGCAATAATGTCAACTAATTAATATATTAAACTTTACGATTAATCTAAATAAATAGTATATCTAGTGTGTTTTCAAATCTAAAATAAATTAAATTTTGATAAAAATATAAGATGATAATTATTCCTTCTTTTACCTTACATCTAAGAGTATACATTTACCGATGTTTAAAATCGACGATTAATATTACCCGACAGCGACCGCAGATGACGGGCGGCAGCCGTTCGAGCTAATTTTCTGTTAATTCGTCTTGGTTTCGCTGTATATATATATATATATATATATATGTAGGTATATTAGCTTTGAAATAATATTATTTAATATAAATACAGTGGCACGACGCATAACGAAACCTGTACCTGTACCTGTCGTCGTCGTCACCTAATAATTGCAGGTGACTTGCTACCGCCCGCAGAGAGAAAGATAGTTGGAAAGAGAGGCAGAGCAAAGTAATAATAATTAGAGGTCCTTGATTTCGTGCGTGGGTCCTAAATTTTTGGCGTATGTAAAAAAAAACTGAAAAAACGACAAGACGTTTTAGCGTGTGGAAACTCAACCGAGGCGCAACGGACCGCAAAAACAGTAAAAAGAAAAATTGAAAGAAAAAACAAAAACAGTCGTCTATCATAGCAATGGAGACAGAGAAACTACGACGACGACGAAGCTGCTCTCCAGGTGACAACGCGAGTCATTAGCCCGGCCAGAGGACCTTTTTTCCGCCGCTCTCGGTTCATCGGGTTCCACGCGGAGATTTCCATTATGTCGTGTTATATTATTATCATTATCGTCGTTATTATTCTGGTCAATTATATTATGTACAATATATTTTTTCTCTCTTTGCAGCAGTGGTGTAAATACTAATAATAGTAATAAATCCAACCTTGTTTCCCATTAGCGGCGCGTTTCACACTGGATCGACGCGTTCTGGATCGGCGATAAATTTTAATTGCATCCGCGCGCGACAACCGGGAAAACCAGCCGCTGTCGTCCTCGATCGTCTGTTCTCTACCGTGCGGTACACACAATAATAATAATAATAATAATAATAATAATGTTAGTGGTTTGTGCGTCTATGGGAAACTTATTATTTGCGCGGCGCACATTTTTAACGGCCGAATAATTGTCAATAGCCGCCGGACACGAACGACATTTGGCCACGCGACGGGGAGCGCGAAATCCTTTCGAATTAAAAAATATTAAAAAAAAAATATATATATGTATAATAGAATATAACAATCAGTGCAAACGCTTACATCCGCGTTAAACTTCGATGACAGTGACGACGATTTGATAAAAAATGTATTTATCTATCGCCAGCACATCCGAAACAAATGCCATTTCTCTAAGGGAAAGGTATTATGTACGACGTCGCATATACCTAGGTTCATTAACATTCTATGTTTCTTGTTTATTATAATTCGATTATACAAATATTTTCAAATTACCATTCTGTCTGTATATTAAATCTACAAAATATTATAATAATACTTAGCTTATAATTTTATTATAATTTAATGACTAAAGGGTTTATATTATTATAACAAACAACTTTTTAAACAAGTATGTAAATATAATAAATTATGTGTTTTATACTCTTGCACTTATATATTGTTATATACCTACAATACATTGATGCGATTATTCGATGTTCATGACATTGTGCAATTCGGACAGACCCTTTCAAGATGTATTATATGCGTTTTATATTATCAACGATAATAATAACAACTGCGATAGAGAAACAAATAATATTAATACGCCGCAGAGGTGGACGGTTTGAGGTCAAGCGACGACTGCTGCGATGTAGACATACGTCATATATACCTACAATAGACGAAGAGGATAGCTGTGTGTGCGTATACGTATTATATATAAATAATATATATTATATATGTACTGTATACGAAAACGAAAGTCCGAGCGCAATTTATCTATTAGCGACAGTAGGTATAACATTAGCCTCGGGTCGATTTCGTTTTTGTGTATTGCGTTTTCGTTCTCTTGTCATACATTTGAACTGGGGTAAACGATTTGTATGTCGCTATACATATATTATAACGTGCGTACGTCATATGTATATATTTTATAATATACACAAGGAGGTCATCGACGGTCGGTGGTAAAATCGAAATTAACCCTTTCGCTGATCCGCTACACGCGCGTCTATAAAGATAGCTTCTCCCGACATTGTACACGCGCAACCCCATCGCCACCGCTGCGGATTGACAGTCGGCCGTATGTCCATTGTCCAGTTCGGACTCTCGTGCACAACTGTTTATAAGCTACATTATATTACTATTGCCGCGCACCGGCCCCCGCGGGAACGACGACATAATATATTTCACCCTTTCTCCGTTACGTCATTCAAATTTTTTTTTTTTTTTACACGTCCGTATTATATGTATACACAAGTGCCACCGTCGTGTTTATCGGACCGTAAACACCGCCGCCGCCCGCGCGGATTATATTATTATTATTATTATTATTATTACTATTATATTGTATACAAACGATCGTCGTCGTCGTATACATCGCCAATTAGTATATCGTATAGAAATCGAACACCACGCGTTACACTCATCATCGTGATGTATTATACGCGCGCACATTGCATATTATATGTATAGTGCAATAGTTATAACTGCCACAGTGACCCTCGCTGTCGTCCGGCGGCTATCCGTTCGAATTAAAAACGATTTTTTTTCGCATTCGCGTCCGTCCGTCAAACGGCGGCAGTGGCAAAACGGACAGTGCACACACACACACACGCACTGCAGACACGCTCACCGTACGTATACATTATACATTTATATAGAATACAATATTCTAAAGTATTAAAATAATTATAATAATAATATAATATGTGAAAACGTCGTTACGGCCCGCGGGCTTCCCACGACACTGCGGGTCACGACGCCCGAAGGACAGCGTGGCGGCGACTCTGACGATGAGGACTATAATATGTATGTATACGCACGAGGTGGTGACGGCGTACAACACGGTTGCGCTCATCGTTTCGTCACTGCGTATCGTTCGTACTTACTCCGCGCACTACACATTTTCCCTTTACGCCGCCGCCGGTGTGGTCACTAAACCGTGTCAGGGACGTGGCGACGTGTACAACCTAACCCGACGTTGACGACAACGAACGCATTTTTTTTATTTAGGTGCTTACCACGACCGCGTTCGTGTTTACAAACCGACTTGCAACGGTATAATATCGTATAGGTACGCGTTTCCCGGATTGTTTCCCCTAAATCGATTTAATATTATTACAATATTGCAGTTGTTACGTCGTTGTAATTATTTTATTTTCGTCCTCGCTCCGAAAAATGAGAAATAGCAAAAATGACACGCGGACTATAATAACGAAATATTTTAACATATTATGCGATATCCACGTAGTTTTTTTTTCATCGTCTACACTATATTATATACCTACGACGGGTCACGACCGTGGAAAGTACGATATAATAATAAAATTATAATACGTATACGGACGCGACTTGGAGAGAAGAAAATAAATTTAAATATCAAAGTGATTAAACGCGCGACGACGACAATAATAATATTAAACGCTGTTTTATTATTATTATATCGGTCGTCGTCACACGACTTAAAAATCTAATAAGTAATAACAGTGTAAACGTTGCACGCCAGATAATAATAATAATAATAATATAATCGCATCGGTGGGCGGACGTGGCGTGCTGCAGCGGTCTATGTACATCGACCATACAGTCATGGTCAGCGTACATATTACAGTTGTGTCCGTTTAAACACATATAAACATATACATATGGCCTAACCTTACCCATTTTATTATATTATTATGCACACAGTCCGTCGGGCGCATCTTCATATCTATATAATAAATATGTAATATTTATAATGTGTACCTATAATAAAAGACACCCACGACACATGTTTTATTTTATATATATACAATATACATACATATCATACGTATTACACGCGTGTGTTGCCTCCGGGTCCGC